CGGAGAGGGGTTTTAGGTCATGTTATGCAAATACAACTGTGCAGTGTATAAGGAAAAGCAAAAACAAAACAAACAACACCAAGTAGAATTTTGAAAAAAAACTTCAATAATCATTTACTCTGAAAACATTAGCAAACGAATCAGTACAACTATTTAGTGGTTAATCAAATTACAAGTGAAAAAATTATTCAAACCTCACAATGAATCAAAAATCAAATTAGAGTGGACTTGTAATTTTCATTTGCAAAGATAATTAATTAGTCGACTAATGGCCTGACTCTCTAAAAAAAGGTCTCCAGTGGAGTCTCCAACTTGTCGAAATGATTTTTTATAAAAGGGGAAAAAAGGGATCTCGTTTCAAAATAATTTTTAATAATTGGTTAATAATAAAACATGGTTCGAGGAGTCGCAACCAATCCTTTATTAGGGTGTGATTAGGCACCCAAAATGTATTTGTCATTTTAATAAAATATTAATTTTAGTTAAAACAACAAACTTGTGATATGCGTTACCAAAATTTGAGTTCAGGAGTCGATTACGTGTGAGGAAGGATTAGCACTCCCACAGCGCCCTAAATCGGTATCGAGTCGATTAATTAGTTTTCTTTGCAATGCAATTTACAAGTTCGAGTCTAATTTAATTTAAGATCCCCTAAAAATAATATTCTTTGATTTTTTGGACGAACATAATAGTATTTAATTATTTCCTATCGAGAAGAATCGATCTCTCATACCTTGAAGCAATCGATTCTTACTCTAATCAAAATAAAGAAATATTAAAATTCCATTCTAAAGTTCACTATTAATTCAAAATAACAACACCCAAAATAATTTTAAGAGTGAAAACGATAATATCTAATTATTTCTAACCGCGAATAAATGACCTCTCATACCTTAAAGCAGTCATTTATTACTCTAATCGGAATGAAGAAATATAACTATTCCGTCTTAAAATTTAACATCGATCCGAGTGAAAACGATAATATCTAATGATTTCCACTCGAGAATAAATGACCTCTCATACTTTAAAGTAGTCATTTATTGCTTCAATCAAAATGAAGAGATATCACTATTCCGTCTTAAAATTCAACGTCGATTCGAGTGAAAATGATAATATCTAATAATTTTCAATCTAAAATAAATGATCTCTCATACCTTAAATCAGTCATTTATTGCTCCAATCGAAATGAAGAGATATCATTATTCCATCTTAAAAATCAATATTAATTCGAGAGAGAACGATAATATCAAATTATTTTCAATCGAGAATAAATGACCTCTCGTGCCTTAGAGCGGTCATTTATTACTCCAACCGAAATGAAAAGATATTATTATTCTCAATATCGATTCGAATGTCATTATTTTGAAACCCCATTGGAAAACACAGACAAAAATAAAGCAAATTTAAAACATATATCAAGCAAGCAAAATTAATTAATTATTTTACCGATATTTAATGAGAATAATGATGTTCAATTATTTAAATATCTCGACACGAGACCTTAGATTCGATCTAACAGTTATTTCTTGATGAATTTAATTAAGAGAACATGATCTTTTTCCCAATTCCCAAATTTTAAGATGGATCCGATTTAATTCGTGTCACTAAATGGGATAAACTTTCATTTTAAAATTATCGAAAATAACTTTCTTATACGTTAAGACAACCACTTTACGAAAATATTAAAATGAACGAATATTACACTTAGTCAATTTATTTCGATTCGAGTCAAGAGATGCTTATGAGGGTATCATGCAAAATTAATTAAGGACTAAAATGAACAAATATGCAAGCAACATGCAAAAATTAAAATAAAATAAAAATAAGACTAAAACATAAACAATCAAACCATCATGTCAAAATTAAAATAAAATAAAGTATATAAGTGACTAAAATGAGCATGCTTAATATTGGGTGCTAAAATTACAAAATATACAAATAAATAAAAAAATATGACTATATTAAAATAAATTAAAATTGCATGGCCAAATTAAATTAAATAAAAAGATAGATTCTGGTTTGAAATACAAACATGTAGAGACTACAATTGCCATTTCCTAAATATTCCTTTTTTCCTAGCCTAAAATATACATTCGAATAAAAAAATTACTAAATCAGCCCATAAGTATTTTTAAAAATTTTTAAAAATCACTGCACATGACCAAAATGTAAAAATACGCTAAACATACATGGACTAAACAACAAATAACCTTAAAAATATATAACATGTATAAAAGTGGGCAAAAACAATTCCTACAGGTGACAAACATGCAAAAGCACGCTAAAGTTAGGGGGACTAAACAACAATTAAACCAAAAATTACAAAACATACACGTAAATGGGTAAATTATAAAACATGTCACTACAGGTGACTATTTTGTAAAAAAGCGCTAGAAGTTGAGGGACCTAAGTGTGATTTCCCCTGAAACTTTTCCTATATATGCAAACATTTTTTTCATTTTAAATCGAATTCTAAAAAACCCAAATCTCTCTTTTTTTTCTCTCATTTCCCTTCAGTTGGTCTCTCACTGGTCGTCGTACCTCACCTCCGGCCGCCATACACGGTAGTTGAAACCCCCAAAACGACACAAAAGCCTCCTAACACTCAAATCTACCACCATAAACTCATATATAAGGTTTAAACTACCTAATCAGACCCTAAACAACCCCAAAAGCAAGCCCCGACCGCTCGCCTTTTCGCCTCCTTGCACTCTTCGGTCGCCGTCCAAGACCAATCGACCCCGGTTCTACTCCCCCTAACCAAAGTAAACCACTCGACCCCCTTTGGTTTCGGTTTTGTTACATGCAAAGTCATTGCTTTTCTTTTGCTTGGTTATCTTTATTTTTTTTCTATTTTTGAACTGAAAAAAACAAATAAGAAAACAAATACCTTCAACTTTGTTTTCTTTCTATTGCTTTCAAAAAATCCGAGAAGGGGAGAACCCCTTTTACATTTTCGTTCAAAGTTTTTATAAGGCCTTTTTTACATATTTTCTCTGATTTGAAATCATTACAAAAAAAAATGATATTTGCGTGTGGTGCTTGTGTTGGGGTTTGTGTTTCTGACATGGCATGAGGCTCGATTGGTGGCAGCAACGGTGGAAGACAACTGGTGGAGATAGGCGACGGCAGAGGCTCGATCTGGATCGTTTGATGGGTCCAGATCGTGCGGATGAGATGAGTGGCGGCTGGAGCTAAGGGTAAAATACTAATCAACTCCTGATCTGGACAGTTATATCAACAAGCCGATCCAGACCGTTATATCAACAAGTCGATCCAACGACTGTGAGCTGGCGGCGTGAAAGGCTAAGGGTGGGAAACCCTAACCGAGTTTGGGCTCAAAAATGGGTTCTGCTATTGTTGGGCCTCAGGTCTTGGGTGTAAATCGTGCTTGAGGGTTTGTATTGGGTCAGATTACGTTTGGGGCCCGATTGGGTCTATTTTGGGTTTTATAAAGCCTGAAATAATAATAATAATAATAATAATAATAATAATAATAATAATATTGGGACGAAAACCGATGTTCGACATATTATCATGTAAATTAGATAAAAAAATAATAAGTATCATTTTTATATTACATATTAGATTATTAATCATGTAAATAAAATTTTTAAATTTAAATTAAAGGATAAATTTCACTTTAAAAATATAGATATGAATTTAAATCTTAGAATCAAATATAAATAAAAAATAAGGGAAGAATACATCTCGCTTTCCCTTATGGCGGCTTGGGTTTCCAAGTAGGTACGATGAACCACATTAAAATTGCCCCTTTTTCATATTCCCGTTGCTTTTAACCTTTTGATAATCCAACCAATAAAAATAAAAGAAAGAAAATATGGTTTTCTCCTTATCTTTATAATTATTATTGTAATAGTTTAATAATTACTGTATAAAATAGGTGGGGTAGGCAGATGATTCCTTTGATTAAAATAACAAGGTAAAGTATATAGAACGGTCCCTAAACTTTTAAGGTACCTACATTTTAGTCACTAAACTTTTGAAATTTATATCAAAATCGTTATATAATAATATATCAAATTCAAACATTATTATATATATTCATTAATATTATAAGTATATTATTATAATATTTATATAATATATAATATATTTTTATTATTATTATTTTTGAATTAATCACTGGTATCCGATCTATTGACCAACTAATCCAGATCGAGTACTGTAGAGGCGAGGGCGACCCTCCTAACCCAGTTTGCTCCATTCGCAAATGTCAGGATTCAAAATCTGACCTTACTTAAGGGACCTAGTGTCTCATCCTACTAGACCAACTTTAACTCTTCTTATTCATTAATTTTGTTAGTTTTATAATATATAATATAAATAATGTTTATAAAAATACAATATTTTAAATAATGTTAAAATATATTTATATATATGTATTTCATTATTTATATTATAATTAATATATATATTTAAAAATAATTTAATTTCAATCACAATATAATTTAAATATTATTTTTTATTGATACAACAACACTCTCTTTAACTTGATTATCTTAATGATAGGACATTAAATTTCTCTCAAATTTAATCCTCATTCATACATATTTTCCTCTATCTTATTAAAAGAAATAGTTTATAATAACGTAAGGACAAACGCTATAGAAGTTGTAGTTTAGGTGCAAAAACAAAAGAATCTATCTATTTTCTTATTGGCAAGAACTCTCACTGTTCCGGTCACCCGTAAGCCAACTTTTAACATTCCTGATATAAAGGTTCCTTGTGTTTATCTTGCTTGCCTTTTGTCTTGAAGCTCAGATTGGTTGTCTTTCTTTTGTTGGGTTATAGCAAAACTTTTCGTTTCTGGAATTGTCTCCCTATCAAGATTCCCTTTCCCTTTTTTATATTACCATTGGGTGGAAGATGGTTTTCTGAGAGTTGAGATGCAAGCCACAATAAGAAATTGGGATTCCCCCCCCCCCCTTTTCAGTTTTCACCTTGGAGTTGCTAAAGTTTGATCAATTGAGTCATACTTTGGAGTTGAACAAAATTAGATTTTTTTAGTTGGTTCCGACTTCCGACTGTTGTGCAAGTGAAAGTTTCTGTTTTTTTGGTGGCTACAATGATATCTTCTCTCAAGTGCCTACATATTTAAGTGGCCAAGTATATGGTTGTGGTTATTTTGCTTAATAAAGTACCTTTCCTTCTGGTGGTTCAACTTCTCTATATTTGGTGTTGTACCATACAGTAAAAGAAAGAAAGAAAAACCCCATTTCTTTATCATTGCAATTGTCTCCACATCACTAGGTGAGTCTTCTGTTTCCCCTATTCCCTTGTTTATCACCATTAACTTCAAAATTTAAGCTTTTTAAACTAAAATCTCACTTCCTAATAAAACGAAAATTATGTACAGAGATAACCTTTTCATCTCTCATAGCTTAATAGATCTCTGGTATATTTGGGAATTATATCATTGTGATAAACCTGCACTGGTTTGCTGTTTCTGATTTGTTGAAGTACTTGATTCATTTTCAGTTTCTTTAACACTTGAATGGGGGTTGCTGCCGCTCAAGTAGTGGATAATCCATGCTATCCTACATCCTTTAAGGTACAAACAATTTATGGATTTAAGCAGTTTTATTTGATCCACCGTCCAAGTGTTTAAAAATATAGATTGTTGGAAATTAGAGAATAAATCTATACAATTCATCTCTTCCTGAGGAAGATGCCATATGTTTTCCTGATACATTCCAATTTTCCCCAGTTTTGCTTATACATAGAGGATCATATCATCACACCCATGTTTGCTTTAAGCTGTTTTTGAGTATGCTTCACATGTAGCACCGCTGACACTATTTATGAATTATGATGCCATTGAAATTTAATAGCTGAGCTCAAGTAGAAAGCTTTAAAACGTATGAGAAAATTTTCTGCTTTGTCTTTTTGTTCAAGAAAGCATCATGGATCTCTGTAGTTTCATGTATCTATCAGAGGAAAGATAAATGACATAGTCTGCCGTCAGTGTTATTCTACAAAGTTCAAATTTGAGCAGGCTTCTTTTCCCTTTTGGATATTTAAAAGATTATGATTTTCTCGTAAATTGTTGTCGATGATTGTAGGTGCACCATGTGATGTGCACGGAACTTAGTAAGTTGGTTGATAGAATTATAAAGATATTTCCAAAAATCGAAGCTGCTCGACCTAGATGCTCTTCAGGAATTAAGGCACTATGCTCACTCAACAGTGCAATTGACAAAGCAAAGTTACTTCTTCGATACTGCAGTGAATCCAGTAAACTCTATCTGGTGTGTTTTCCTCTTGATTCATATATATATATATATATATATATATAGCCTTATTGTTAATGGAGGGAAATGCCTGTGGCAATTTTTATTAAAACAAATGATTGTGAGTTTATGACCTTGCCATTACAAGGTCGGTTGCTGGTGTTTGTGAGCTTAAATAGAAAAGTCCTATTACTTTTTGGTTGATATTTCTCTGCAATTACTTTCAGGCAATAACGACAGATGCCATACTTTCAAGATGTCACAAATCGAAAAACTTGTTGGAACAAGGTTTATGCCAAATTCAGAGTATGGTTCCCGTTATGCTTGCTTTTGAGGTTTGTCAAATTACGTCTTATTAATCTTTTAAGCACCGTGCTTTAGGAGAGAAGCTGTTTTTTCTTCCTGTGTTTACAGTCAAATCGATTTTATTTTAATTTTAGATAACTTATCTTCATGATGTCATGTTCTCTCTTCGCATTGATACTGAAATGTTATTGTAGATCACTCAAATTGTTGATGATTTTCAAGCTGCAAAATTTATCCCTGATGAATTTGAAAAAGAGGCCGGGAAGGTTGCAAGAGAATTGCTCCAGAGGGGAGCTACAGAATCAGATTCAATGGGGTACGCCGAAATTAGAGCTCTTAAAACAGTGGCATCACGACTTCATCTTACATCTTTAATAGCCATCTTAATAGAGAAAAGATCTATTAAGAAGTTGCTGGAAAAAGTCGGTGACTCTGACCAACAAAAGAAAAAGATCTTAAGATATCTTTTGTATCTGTTGAGGAAGTATGCGAACCAGATTATTGAAGAGCAAACAGACAACACGAATGATCTGAATGAAGGAGCATTTGCAAGTAATGGCCCTAGTACTGATTCTATGCAAGCTCACTCTTTTAATGTGGAATCTTGCATGGAGCGTAAGCGGTATGATGCTCATGCTGATAAGTTAAGCATTGCTACTCTTCCCGAGGAGTTTAAATGCCCCATATCTTCAAGATTGATGTATGATCCCGTTATCATTGCTTCTGGACAAACATTTGTGAAGATACTAATTTTTTACCCATATCATTATTATTATTATTATTATTATTATTATTATTATTATTATTATTATTATTATCATTATTATTATTATTATCATTATTATTATTATTATTATTATTATTAAATATATTAAATACATATATAAATATTATTAAAAAAATAATAATTACAGGTCCAATTACAACTGGACCGGCCCACTTACAAACTAACCAGAACCGGTCCATATCAAACCAAAAACCCTAAATATTTGGGTTTCCAGTTAGGATTTCCTAACCCTAATTTAACCAGCCGCCTCAGCTCACAACCGTTGGATCTGGCAAGATCCAACGGTCCAGATTGCCCCAGATGGAAACCCTAGGGTCTGATACCCTAGGGACACGCGGCCGCCGTTGCTATCTCGCCGCCTCCGCCGCTGCCACGTCCCAACCGAAGACTCCAGAAGATAGAATACCAGCCGTCCACGCCATGGCTACTCGGTGAGTCACCACTGGTAGTCCGGTGACTCACCGAGACCCCATCTTCGGACCGGTCCGACGGCTACAACGGTGGTGGCTATAAAAGCCACCACCCGAACCTGAAAAAAAAAAGGAGACAGAAACAGGAGAGACACAGAGACAGAAAAAAAGGAAAAAAAAAAGAAACAACAGAAACAAAGAGAGATACAAAAACTACCAACGATCCCAGTCCACAACAACACAGCAAAAACAAAAACAGAAGGAAAAAGAGAGGAGAGAAGCTTACCAAAGAAGCCTTGACCATCGCCGGAAGCACTAAACATCGCCGGAGAACCGAAAATACCGAAGGTATTTTCATATATTTACTCCGATTAGGAGTCTTTTTGGGGAAACAAAGGTCGGATTCGGTCTTAGGGTGTTTAGATCTACGTTTTAGGTAAATTTGGGGAATTTCCGACCACCGGAGGCGGTGGTCGGCGGTATAATTCGCGACGGCAGACGGCTGTCGGATTCCCTCCGGTGAGGGAATCTAGAGAGAGGCCAGAGAGAATTCTGGCTCTCTCTCTGCTTGAGAGAGAAAAAAAAAAGGAAATGAAATAGCTGGCCCGAAGGGCCAGCCGATTTGGACTTTTATAGTCCTTCCCGAACGACGTCGTTTCGGGAAGGACTATGCGCGTAATTATAAAATAGTTAAACCCCGTCCGCAGTCCTCCGAACTTGTAAACTTTATATTTTAGTCACTAAATTAAATTTATAATATTTTTAATTCAGTCTTCGAATTTGAATTTCTTTTATTTTAGTCCTTCATATTAAAATAATATATTTAGGATAAATTACAGATTTAATCCCTTAATTTTAATAAATAATATTTTAATCCCTAGTTTATATTTTTAATTTATTTGATTCTAATATCCGAGTTTTAGATAATTTTATTTTAGTCACCAAATAAATAAAATAAGGAAATAACATATTTAATCCCTATAATTTTGATTAATTATGAATTAGATTTTAATTTTATTTTATTGTAATTTAATCAGTTATTTATATGTTTTCATTTACTTTATTGTTTTTAAATATATTGTTTTAGTAGTATTTGTATTTTTATTTTATTATATTGTTAAATATTTTTATATTCATAAATTTATAATAAATAATAATTTTTAAATATTTATTTTTAATATCGAAGAAAATGACAGTCTTAATACAACTGGATGTCCTATTCTGATATTTTAAAATAAAAAAGTAAACAATATTATTTAAATTAATATTTATCAATATCAAAGAAAAGAGCTGTCTTAAGACACCTAGAAGTTCTTTTCTGATATTTTTAAATAAATAAATATTTTTTTTATAATTTTGAAATAATAGAATTATAAATTAAATATATTTTTGACTTTTTAAAATTTTAATAATAGAGACAATTTATAATTAAAAAGTACCAATTTTGGGCGTTGTAGGGGTGCTAATCCTTCCCTAAACGTAACCAACCACGAATCCCTTTTTATTATTAAAAAGAATGAATTTTTGGTTATAAACGCAGATCAGTTTATTTTTTTAATTGGTGTTTTATTAAAACTCTTTTAAAAAATAATTTTTAGGTATTCGACCTACCTGACCCAAAAGGCCGATGGCGACTCCCAAATTATTTTCAAAACCATTTATTCACATCACTTTTCCCGCCAAACAAATAAATTCGTGCCCGGACGAAAACCGGTTACGACAGCTTGGCGACTCCGCTGGGGACCGGTCAAACTTTTAAAAATCAATTATAAAATTGTCTCTATTAATTAAAAATTAAAAGTTCATATATTTGATTTTTAATTCTTTCTTTTTAAAATTTTTATATATATTTATTATTTTCATAATATTTATATGTTTTATTTTATTTGCAAGTATTTTATTTCATTATTTATTTTTCTGTCGAAGGTTTGAACATTTCTCCTCACACACAACACTTGCATTGCATTACATAAAGCTCTATAATTGAGTTGTCCCTTTTAAGTGGGAGTGAAAGCGACGTCTTCGTGATAATTTATTCTCCGTGTCAGACCTAGCAAGTAACTTTCGGGGTTCATATGCTCTATGTCTTCGTGAGAATTTATTCTCCGTGTCAGGCATAGAGAAATGTATCCCCTTGAATTGAACTCGATCCACTTTAGTCTGTGATGGACTAGGATTGAGGGTTAGCAGCCTAAGGGGGCACTAACATGGACAATTCGAGTACCTTTACTCCTAGATCTGAAATCCTGCATATAAAAAACCTTAGAAACTCTTCCGATCAGAAGTCATGCCGAAATTTTGTCCAAAATAGGTGTACACACAGGAGAAATGAATTCTGATTTTCATGTTAATTTATTTATTGATTAAATTACATGTTTATTTAAATTAGTTAAATTCAGAAAAGCATGTTTAAATAAAGAATATTTATGTAAATGTTATTATTAAATTTCTTTATTATGTAAACTAATTTATTTTCTTTTTGTGTGTTCTTTATTTTTCTGTTTGCATTGCATCATACAGGATAAAAGACATTGATCCTTGTGTTAATTGTCTCATTGGAAAGCCTTCATATATGGATAAAAAGTGTTCAAGTCAAGTAATCCTAAACTCAGAAGTAAGACAGTGGGCTGAGGATTTACAAAGACAAGAAGGAGACAGTCTGCAGGATGATTATGTATCTGACTTGGCCAGTTATGCTTCAGTTTCACTAAAAAGAAATGATTTGCAAGATTTGCGAAGCATTTGGGAAAGTTGGGATTCAAACAAAAAATTGCAGTTTTATCAGACTTACGGAGACATCCCATATTTGCTCTATGTTGAAGTTGATGATGAATTACTCAGAGCCCTAGTTCAATTCTGGAATCCAGGGTACAATTGCTTCACTTTCAATAAGGAGGACTTGGTCCCTACTATTGAAGAATATACAACTTTGTTACATCTTGAAGGTTCTTTGGAGAATCGAATATATTCAAAGTCAATTAAAACTCAACCCTTTCGTGTTAAATTAGCAAAGATTGCTGGGGTACGAGAAGAATGGGTAGCATCCCGTACAAAACAAAAAGGCGAAAGCGAAGGCATTGCTTGGACCAACATCAGAGAGCTTATTCAGAGTCATCCAGACGCTAAAGTACGATTCGATCTATTTGCTCTGGGTATATATGGTATGGTCATCTTCCCAAAAGTATTGGGATATGTTGAAGCTGCAGTGGTAGACTTGTTTGAACAGCTACCGAAGAAGATTAATCCTGTTTCTGCAATCCTAGCAGAGACCTTCAGATCGTTAAATGCTTGCAGAAGGCTAGGAGGTGGACGATTCTCAGGGTGTACCCAGTTGTTATATGTTTGGATCCGTAGTCATTTCTGGAGGACAGAAAAGGTTTCATACCGACGCTTTAATACGGATTACTCACCATTAAAAGAATTTCTAGAGCAGGAATGGCCGAAAGAAATTAAGAAAGATATGTGGATTAATGCCTTTCGAAATCTGCAAAACAATGACGTTGTTTGGCGCGCCCCGTGGCAAATCCAAAGGGAATTCTTTTACAGATGTGGAGATTACAACTGGATAATGCTGCTTGGATTATGGGGAGGAATTGGATATGCACCACTTCTGGTTATAAGACAGTATGAAGGTCGTCAATTTGTACCTATCACTGCTGGATTACAGTCATCTGAGTTCGCATTCCACAACAAAAATTATAAAAGAAACATCATGGAAGCCGTTACAGCTTGGAAAACAACTTTTTGCATCCGAGCTAAAGCAGCAAAAGAAATGTTAACTCCTGATTATGAAGAATGGAGATCTGTCAGGAAAAACGAAAATATTCCTCTACCAGATCAAAATGAGGATATTTCTATGGAAGATCGCATCAAGGTGGTTCCATCAGAGATTGAAATCCTGAGAGCTGAGTTTGAAGCAGAAAGAGAAGGCTGGTCGAAAGAATTAGAGCAAATGAGACAAGATAAAGCTATGTTGGGGGTTGACATTGACTTTCATTCATCACAATGTGCAATGTTGAGAAAAGATAAAGAAAAAGGTGAGGATGAGTACAGAGCCTTACAGAAAAATTACCAGGAGTTATATAAATCCCGAAAAGCATCAGGACCCAGCCAATCGACGGTACAGATGACCAGAGAATGGAACATCGAGAAAAGATGAGTTGAAGATCTGAAAGGAAAGAATAGCCGTCTACTCAAAAGCCTGGAAAAAGGAAAGCAAAAAATGGAAGATTTTGAGGTCGACAGACGAGAACGAATTATAAAGCACAAGGCTGAACACCGTGAGATCAAGAATGAAATGCAAAGAGAAAGGGATCGAGCCAAAGATTTAGAAGAGATGAAGAATGACATCTTTGATAAATTTGAAGGCGAGAAAAATATCATGTTTAAGGGATTTGAATCTGAAATGAACCAGTTGATTGCTGAACTTGAAGTCAGAGGCCAAAAGATGGAAGAATCCAATATTGAAAAGGAAAAATGGGAGCTGGAAAGGAAAAATTTCAATACCAGACTGGAGGTAGAGCATGAAGTGGCTAGCAATTGGATGCAAAGATGCAGAAACAAAGATGTTCAAATCCAGAAGCTTAATCAAAGAACGCAAGAAGCACGAACAAAACTTGAAGAGGATCTGGATCAGTATAGAAACAAAAACTCAGAGTTTAATGCTTACATTTTGCAACTTGAAGAATCATTGTTTCAAGAAAAGGTTCGTCTAGGACCTAATGATCTCAAAGAAAGTAATGAAGAAAATGCTTCACTGCGAAGACGCATTAGAGATCTTGAAAACATTCTGCACAATTGTCAAGTCAGAATCACTGAGTTAGAGCAAACTCTTGAAGGAACGAATGAACAATGGCAAAAGTCAACTGAGTTCTATGTAGAAAGAAGTGAAGAAAGAAGCAATATGGTGTTCGAGGCCATGGTACAAATGAGCGAAGTTGCTAGATATGTTGGGGAACTAGCTGTTGAAGCCAAAATCATTGAGCATCATGTTGACCCAGTTTCTAAGTGCGGAAAGAAGGTGTCATGGTTAATGAAAGAAATTATAGAGCTTAATAGGAAAGCTATGCCTTATCTGTAGTTATGAAATATTATAAAGAAACTTTTGTATGCCAATGAAAGTTGTTCTATGACAGTTAACTTTTTGGGATCAATGTTTTTTATATACATGCATTTTGCATACATTCATCATTCATTTCATAATTTTCGCTATGAATTATTTTATTTATTAAGTTAAAATTCATTAATTAAAATTTAAAAAAAATAATTTTAAAAGATTTTTTCAATCGCAGTTACTCTGGCCAAAAGAGAAATACTACATCACTACGGTACTAGACAAACTACTAAGAGAATTATGGAGGATAAAATACAGCGTATTGAGGAACAACATCATAAAGAACAAGAAGAAATGAGAATGAAGCTGGAAAAAATTGAAGCCAGTATTGCAAATTCACAAGACAGTATGATGAAGAAGATAGAGGACATGTTTAAAAGGCAGGCTATCAGTGGAAAAATGCATGAAAA